AAAAAAAAAAAAAAAAAAAAAAAGAAAAAAGAAAGAAAATAAACTCCTCACAAATTGCAGATGAATTAATGAAACTTCGTGACTCGTCGGAGGCAAGAATAAAATTAATAAACGAAGAGGAAAATTTCAGAAGCTATGGCTGTTTCTTAGCTTGCATTTGGCAACAAATTGGCGCGGTAAGACATCCACGCGAATCCACGTGCATCCAATAAATTAACACGTTTTCTTCTTTATTTTTACTTTAGATGAATGGCTCCGAATTGAGCACATATAACATAGCAGGAATTATCGAAAAACAATATCACGATGACGAAGATCTTAAAACATTTTTCCATAAAATCGCGTTAACGTGCGAAGATGATATCCACAGAAAATGTAAGTAAATTGCATTTATTATTAATCGATTTAATTGATATTAAAATTATAGAAATGTATTGTCGATGTTTCAGTTTTAGGCGTGAATGACAAGTGTGACGTCGCTCTTAGCTTCAAATTGTGCATGTTGAAAGCTATGCGTAATTATCCCTGAATCAATCTATATTTTATCTATTTGCACTTGTCGATTACCGCAAAAATTATAGAGGATTAAAAGAATATTTTATTATTCCCACCTTTTATCGCTACCTTTCTCTCTAATAGCGTTCGAATAGGCCTAATAGCGACATGCGATAAAATTAATCAATCGGAAACAGATAGATACAGATTGACACGCGTTCTAGAACAATTAGATCGCATTCGTCGGATAGTTGCAATTGTTGTTCCTTCGTGAAGTATCGACAAGGCGCGTACATGTTCGCTAAAAAGTTAAGAAATTTTTCGACCGGGATCTCGAAATCTCAGGAATTAGTAAGGTATCGAACGAAAAAATTCATTTTTTTTTTATCTATTGCGCAAATTTTAACTTTTAATTGAAGACTGGATACGAAAAAAAAAAAAAAAGAGAAAATCTGTATTTTACCGCGAAATTAAAATTAAAATTTAGAAAAAAGATAAAAAAATTGATTATTCGATATTTAACGATTGATTACTCTTAAGGAAAGAATATTTTTCCATTCAGTCTTCGATTCGATCAGATATAAAAATAATCATTTTGCACGTTAACGAGCGTGCAGTTTTGTTTGGCGAAGACTTCTAGTTCTTGGTTCGACATTTGGAATCGCTGTACTTTTATTCTGGTCATGCTACATATTTTTCAATATGTTAAACTATAAGATTACGGACACCAATGCTTTCCCTAAAAGAATAACAAATTATACGTATATTGGAAATTATACGTCTATTGAAAATTATACGTACATTGGAAAATCGTTGGAATTTCAACAATCTTTGGAGAATAGAAAAATCGAGGAAAGAAAAATATCGGCGAGCTCGTATTGCCAGATTAAATCGTGCGACACGATAATTTGCACGTCCATCCCGAGAGAGGCTAATATCGAAACAGTGGTGTCAACCTATATTGAGAATGATTTTAAGGTATTGAGAGAGATCAATAATAAATATTTCTAATTCCGTTTCTATTTTTCCATTTACGTGCATTTGAGTTGGATAAAGGATTTTGTTGTTGTGATTTCGTAGCGATAACTAATAATTTTGCGTTCGACGAAAAGGAACGACGTGTATTGCATCATTAAAAAGAATAAACTCGTCGAATATTACTGCGCGTTACCGCTATGAAATTGCAACTTGTTTCAATCAGGTTTCAGATAGGAGTATAATGAAAAAATATCTATTACCATTATAATCAACGATCCATATTTCTTTTTTTATTTTATAATTGAAAATTAATTTCCTCCGTTCTCAAGCAGTTGCGTAAAATTATTATTAAAATTTCGCTGCAGGCAAACTGCAAGAATGCGAAATCGGTGAAGTTGTCCATCGAAGATTGCGAATTCTCGGACAACACGCTTCGAAAGAATTGGCTGAGCGTCAACTTGTCGATCGAGGAGTTAACGTTGAACCGATGCTCCCTCAAAGAAATAGAGGACGACGCGTTTGCCTCGCCCATTTACGAAAAAACGAGCAAGATCATCATCGTCAACAACAAGATCGCTTCTTTGCGCAAGGCGATGTTTCGTCACCTCGAGGCATTGCAAGAGCTGAGTATACAGGAGAACATGGTCAAGTCGGCCGAATTTAATCTGCTCGAGGAGGTTGCGGGTTCTTTGACCAACCTGGAACTGTGCCAAGCCATCAACGATCGAGAAGTGCTTAAGAACATAACGGGCGCGGACGAGTTGTTCAAGTTAAAATTGTTATCATTATACGGAAACGTTATATCCAGGATCGACGAGAAATTGTTCGCAGGGGTGTCAAAAATCGAGTCCCTCTACCTGCACGACTCCGACATCGCGACAGTGTCCCGTGACGTCTTGAAACCGATGGCTTCGTCCATATTGCTTCTGACGTTGAACAGAAACAAGATAACATCATTGCCAGAGGGACTGTTAGATTCGGCGATCAGCTCAGCTAAACGTTTCCATGTATACGTGGAAAATAATCCTTGGCACTGCGATTGCAACTTAAAATGGATGCAAGATTTCGTGGAGGATCATTCGAGCATGATAGACAATCCAATTTGCAACACTCCACCTATGAACGCTGGAAAATCATTCGCTGTAGCGAATTTCTCTTGCGACGAGTCCTCCATTACCATCCCTACCACGATACTGAATACAGGGTTATCAGGATCCGTCGAACACGATTCGAATCAAAACAATCGTATCTCGACCCCTCGAATATCTTCTACCACCATCACCAACAACAACAACGACAAAATCCGTGTCACTTGTAACGCTACCGACACGTTCCTACAAACTTACAACTCGCGCAAGTTGCAGTCGACGACAGACGTTCAACTCTACCCCCGATTTCCCAATTTCTACGTCTCCAAGATCCTAGACACCAGCATACTGGTGAACCTCCCCAATCTGACCCAATCTGGCGTCACTCTGCTCTGGTTCGACAATAATAACGTGTACAGCTCCGTGAGATGCGCGAGAAACGCGAAACGGTCTTATCTCGTGGAGGATATCGATCCGCAGGCGACGTACACGATCTGTTTGCTCGACGATAACGGGAAATTTATATCCCCGTTGAATTGTTTGGCCGTGACTACAAGGCCCGCTTACGAGTCGAGGACCTGGTTGACGAACGCTGACAAAACACTTGTCCTTTCTTTATCGATCGCCTCGTTGCTCCTCCTCTTCTTCGTGGGCGGTTTCCTCTCGTTTCTGCTGATAAGGCGATACCCGACGTTGCTTCGAGGCAGCAAACGCGTGATGCTGGTGAAACGTTGGAACGTGGACGCCATTGTGCTTCCCAGAGGCGTCGACGCGAACCAGAAGTGGCAGAGGCGGCGGTCTTATGTCGGCAAGTCGCACGAGGATGGATACGTTACGCCATTGCCCCCGGTTGGGATTCCTCGACGCGCGTCGAGATCTAGAGCGAGCTCGCAGAGCGATAGAAATAGTTACGTATCGCCGATGGAGACGAACGAGACTCAATTGGATTTGTGGGGGCTGGAGAGACGGAAGTCGATCGCTCCTCCAGTTCCGCCTCATCCATCGAGCATGATTCCATCTGTTTCAGGAACCGATTCCAAATACGAGCGTGCCTACCAAGTATTCACCGTCTAATTTAATTTTCGTGATATTCGATACTTATTATTGGACCGCGACCTGTTTTACAAGAATTAAACGATGATCTCGAATCTCGTTTACTCGGGCTTCTTACACGCGTTTCGCAACAGCGCGAGAGTGTGTGTGGCTCAGCGTTTCTCAACGTGGAACGTTTCAACGTTTCACGTTAACTTTAAATTATTACTCTCTTATTATACTAGTTTAAATTATTATTCTCAGAGAAGATATGATAGAAAGCATTGTTCGAGCAAATTGTTGAAAAGTTGTAACGAACGTATGATACAATTACAATAATATAAATCACGAATAGGAAATATAAGAAAGTAATCTTCGAAAATGTCTTGGAAAAAATTGACAGAAACAGAGAAATTGGTTTCGTCTTATGAAAAACGTGTAATTTTCCACGAATAATCGCAACGATCCATCGACGATACACACTTAGTGTCGACACGATCGAGAAAAATGATCGTTAGTTGAGAAACGCTAAACCCGCCCGTTCTCGCCTCGTCTCTCGGATCGACTTTCGTTAAATCTGGCGTACAGCCCAAAGATACGCGTGTCAATGTCAATATCTCAACGATCCCCTATTATAACCAGAATGAAAGAGGTTACTCTCGATCGACGAAAATAAAAAAAAGGAAAAAAAGAAAACAATTTGAATCGGTCGATTCGTTCGATTATCCCTGTACTGTTCCCGTCTATTGGAAAATTGCAAAATTGCCCGAACTATTTCCCCAACCACAATGGCCGATTATTATCATTGGCCGTGTCTGTCGTTTTATTTTTGACGATTAGGTCAGTAGTTCGTAGTCGGTGGAGATCGTCGAAGGCTCCCGATCCGATTGGCCGAAGGAGGTCGGTCAAGATTCGGTCTGTTCGGGTTCTCTCTTCTGAGAAGCGGATGCCAGCCAGGCGAGCTTTTTTGCACGCTCTGGCGCGCGGCTGGCAATCCACTGCAATCACTCTAAAAGGACGCAATGCCAATATCAAACCGCTGTATTGGATCGACTAGCTCGCAATCGGTATAATCGTTTGCGTGTTCGCCCACCGTGTGCCGTGGAAATGACCGGTGCTGTACGCAACACCGCGTCATCGGCTTTCTACGGCCCCTGCCAATCGCAGTTCCGGATTCGCGGTGAGCTTGACATTGCCAAATGATGTAACAAAGTGCTCCATTTCCCCTCCTTTGCGGCAAAACGGCCTCGCGAACTTGGGATGAATCATCCCACTGGGTGAAATTTATCTATTTCAATTGTCTCCAATTGCGTTCACTTTCAATTTCCTCGCTTCACTTTGTTAAAAGCGACGACGGAGGATGACGGATGATGGTTGCGAAACTATGAATCGATGATTTTGGATTGAATATTATTTAATATTTCTTTTCGGATATCGGCTTTTTTTTCGCGATAAAAATTGTGACATACGCGATTCGTTGAATTCAAAAGTTTTCAAAAAATGGGATTCGAGAAATTCGGAATAATCGTAACAAATTTAAAATTTATATTAAAATTGTTCTTCTATGTAATGTTCTCTCTGATCTGAGGAACGATTATAGAAGAAAGTTTTTCTTAATTTTTATTAAGAGGATATCGGAATGAATGTAAATGTAGTAAAATAATCATTAACTCTCGAAGGAAATGTACGAGTAAAAATCGATTTAAACATCGACGTAGTTTTTTGTCATCGATTTCGTTCAGCCAAAACACTATACGTTTCGCAAAGCGTGAACCATCAAAGGGTCCCAATTAAGAATCTTTTTATAGTATCTTTAGCTCGACAGATGATTGGTGACTGTTTATCGACGCTAATAAGAATGCGTGATTGCGTCTGTGCAGCTCTACTAATTAATTTACTAAGGCTCAGTGTGACAATTCCATCGGTACAGTAACAAGCGATTGTTCAGAGGGGAACTGTTAATCATTTTACTTCTGTGATAACTTCTGTGATTCTGTGATTAAATTTGTTAATATAATATCGTCAAAATGGTAATTATAAAAAAATAGAACTATTGGATTTTCTATTAAATTTAAAGAATATTCGATTCTAATAATACGTAAAGTAAAAAATTATCGATGGTAATTGTTACAATTAACAAGTCTTATTAATAAATACGAAACGATTTTACTCATTTTTAGGATGAGATTCAACTCAGCAAAGATCAAATCGCACGTGAGTATATAATTTTCCAAGAAGAAAGAAAGAAAAGAATTATTAAATAAATTTTTCTTTCAAAAGATTTAAAATTAACAAAGTTCCATATCTTTTTTTTTTCTTTTTTATTCTCAACTTTGCAGAGTTGAAAATGGGTTTCGAAGCGTTCGATCCCGACAAAAAGGGAACAATCACCACCGACACAGTCGGCACCATTTTGAGTATGATGGGGATGAAAATTCCATCCGCGCAACTCATCTCGGTCATCGCTGAATACGATCCATTCGGTATCTATATGCATATCTGGAAATAAATAATTTTGCAGAGAAATCGATCAATCGTACAGATCTTTCTAATAAATCGATCGCTCTTTCGCTCCTCAGGATCCGGGGAAATGAATTTCGAAGAATTTTGTAGCTTAGCCTCCCGATTCATGGAAGAGGACACGGACACAGAGGCTATGCAGCAAGAATTGCGCGAAGCTTTCCGCTTGTACGACAAAGAGGGAAACGGTTACATCACCACCGATGTGTTTAGAGACATTCTTCACGAATTGGATGACGCGCTGTCCCCCGAGGAGTTGGACATGATCATCGATGAGGTGGACGCTGATGGTTCAGGCACGGTCGACTTTGAGGGTACGTGTACAAGTGATTCTTTAAGATTTGTGCAGACGAACCATGTGATTTGGCAGGAGAGGTGAAAACGAGAGAGACTTGAGAATGTGCGTTCTTATTTTATATATATATATATATTTTTTTTAATTAAGAAAAGTTGATCCATTAAGTTCGTTATGAGCGAAACTCATAGAGATGAAGATGTGTTGATTATTCCAAGAAAGTGAAAATAAGAAAATGTCGGATCGTTACAATGTTACAATTGTTGCTACATCATATCATTCGTCTGCTAGATGAATCCATCAAAAGGATCGTGTTATATTTTACGAAATTACGAATGTAATTCGAAGAATCAAAGAAAGATCGTTTCACGATTTCAGAATTCATGGAGGTCATGACAGGTTAAATTATCACCTTGGCACGAGGCGGTCGTCCCTCGTGGTCGGTCGCCACGAGAGGCGCATATATAAACGACGATACCGTCTGCCTTTACTACACACGTGGAAAACGCGCGATTTATCGAGATAATGTTGGCAAAGTATGAAGTTAAAGGTTCGTAGGTGACGTTTCTTGGGATGGTGAGCTTATAATGCAACTGTAAGAGAAAATATTTATGCGCGGTCGATTTTTGGACTCACGATCGGCTGAAATGTATTTCTATCTATGTGCCGGAATTAAACTTGGAAACCCCAAAGATTTTCAACGAGGATCTATGGTTCACGTAGAAACAAGTTTATATTAACATAAATTGACC